GAGGAAGGTGCAGTTACTACTCTTTGTACAGTGGTCAGTTATTGGCACTGGCCTCTTTTTATTTATGAAACACACCAGATTAGCTCCGGAACTCTGCCTTTGTGGTTCCATGCTTGTAATACGTTCACACTGGGGACTTTCCGGCTAGTGGACTGGCTAGCAGGTTAGTTAGCCTGTTGACTGGCTGGCTACTTAGTCAGTTGGATGGTTGGTTGGTGACTGGCTAGCTGGCTGGCTCACTGGTTTGATGGCTGCTTAGCCTGTTGGTTGGTTGGTGGCTGGTTGGCTAGGTTTGATTGAATTGTTAGCTGTTTAGTTGGTCAGTCATTTGACAGCTGGTTGATGAGTCTTGGGCACGGAGGTCTCTGGTTAAGCATCCATCTTCAGAAAGGCTTCTGTCACATGCCTTAAGTGGTGTCATCTCCAGTTGCTCTCTACCACACTACATTGCCTTATTTCCCTCACTATGCTTATTACTATCTAAAATTATTTCTCTAAACAATTTTCTCTGAGTTTAGAGATAATGTCTGCTCAGTTCATTCCTCTCCTGTCCAAGTATGCTGATGGCGCCTGGACTATGAGAGTTATCCACTAAGCATTGTATTAATGTGTTTTTTCTCCTGCAGTAAATATGCTTAAATAAAAAGGCAGATGAAAGGACCAGTATCAGCACAAGATACCACAAGACCATGCTCTCAGCACAAAGGAGATTTATCTGCCCCAGAGGGACAGAGGGCAGGAAATAAAAAACAAAGACAGGAGATAGAAGATGAGGGAAAAGAGGAATGGAACAAGGGAGAGAGAGGAAGAATTTGCCCCGAGGGACAAAGGAATGCTTCTGGATGGAGAGGAGACACAGATGGCACATACACAAATGGCAGTTTATAAAGTTAAAAGGGGAAACTCCGAGTTAGAATGAGGTGTTTAGTTTTGATTGGGAATGTTAATTAGAGTAGCCAAAAGATGGCTTTTGATTGCTGGACTTCAATACTTTGATAACTAGACTTTGACAGTCAGCTTTAGTGGGGAGGAAGTGACAAATAATAAAATAGACCTTGGTGACTAGCTTTAGGGATGCAACCTAACAAGTTTTTAGGGGAAGGCAAGGCCTGCCAGAACCATGTTTGCCATGCTCAGGACTACGAGAGTCCTTCAGCAGTACCCTGGAAAAAAAAAAAGAAGTGACTTGATGTGGCCAAGTGAGCTGAAGAGTTCCATAAAACCAGAGACCTTCTTTCACAAGGATGTTCAAAAGGAAGTAGCAGTAGTTGTCTCAATTAGGGTTTTTATTGCTGTGAAGAGACACCTTATAAGGCAACTCTTAGAAGGAAAACACTTAGGTTGGGGAGGCTTGCTTACAATTGCAGAGGTTTGGTCCATGGTGATCACAGCACGGAGCAAGGCAACATGCAGTAAGACATGGTACTGGCTACATCTTGATTGGAAGGCAACAGGAAATTAACTGAGATATTGGGTGGTATCCTGGGCATAGGAAACCTCAAAGCCCACCCCCACAGGGACACACTTCCTCCCACAAGGCCATACCCCACCGCCAACAAAGCTACACCCCATAATAGTGCCACTATCCTGAGATTATGGGGTGCAATTGCATTCAAACTACCACAGTAGATAAAGAAAGTGGGTGGGAGGCTGTGGGAAAGACTACCTGTAAAGAGAAGAGCTGTGATCCCCAAAATAAGAAAAGGGGTTCTTTACAATCCCAGTGCCAGTGAGTCTGTGAAAGAGGGAGGTTCCTAAGAGAGATGCATGATACTCCAGAGAAGTGGAATGAGGCAAGATCTCCTGAGCAGATTGGGAACATCGGGGGAGGGGAGAAGGAACCAGGAAAAAGAGTGGGAGATAAGAGGAGGAGAGAAGAAGACATGGGGAGCAGGAAGGTTGAGTTGAGGTAAGAATAGAGGAGAGCAGGATGAGAAATACCATAATAGAGGGAGTCATTATAGCTTTGAGGAGAGAGCTGACATTAGTGAGATCTCCAGAGATCTACAAGGCAAACTAAGCAATAGTAGAGAGACTACATTAATAGCCCCTCCTTGATGATAAAGTTGATGACTATCTTATATGCCATCCTAGAACCTTCATCCAGTGACTGATGGAAGCAGAGACAGATACTCACAGCTAATCACTGAACTGAACTCCTGGAACCTAGTGACAGAGATGGAGGAGTGATGAGGAAAGGTGTCAAGACCATGATGGTGAAATTCACAAAGACAGCTGACTGGACAAGGGGAGCTCTTGAATCCCAGACTGATGGCTGAGAGGCCAACATGGGACTGATCCAGACTCCATGAATGCAGTGTCAGTGAGGAGGCCACATAAACCACTGGGGCCTTGGGTAGTAGATCAGTGTTTACCATGGTGTATGGATGATCTTTGGGAGTCCATTCCAAATAGAGGGATACTGTCTCAGCCTGGACACATGGGGAAGGGCCTAGGTCAGGCCCTGGATGAAATGACAGACTTTGGAGATCCCCCCAAGGAGGGCCTCACCCTCTCTGGGAAATGATGTGGGGATGGGGTGGGGGGCTAGGGAGGCTGGTGGAGGGAAAAGGGAGGAAGGGTGGAAGAGGGAGCTGGGACTGACATGTGAAGCATTCATGTTTCTAATTTAAATAAAAGCATATATTGAGGGAAAAAAAGAAGAAAGGGGGCTCTTCACAACATCCATTAAAGGCAGCAGCCCCTGGAGAGGGAAGCAAGACCCCAGGGAGACCATGTGGAATGTCATATTTGGAGCAAAGAAAAGGCAAAAAGGTGTCACAAACTGAATCCAAAATTATAACAGTAATATGGCAGCCTTGGAGGCAGCTATAGAAACTGTCAGCCTCTGCAGGAAGGTGCATTTTGTCACTGACCTGGTTTCTAACTATAAGTACATTGTGATAACAAAAAGCAGATTGACTTTTAATCAGTCTTATTGTTACTGCTTGATTTTCTACAGACAAGGTAACTCCTTCCTGCCTGAATCTAGGTAAGAACATACATTTCCAGGGATCACTATATTGGAAACAACATTCTCTGGTGTGTGGTTGCCGGCATATTTAGTTCCACCTTAGGGCTCTGCTGATGCTCTGCATATCCACAAAGATCTGGGAACTGGCTCCTGCCTCTGTGAGTGGAACACTGGATATAGCTCTTACAAATTCAATCCTAGTGTGTGGACTACTGACAATAATAACATTCTCAGAAAGAAGGCCCTTAAGATTGCAGTGGTGTATGCCCACCTTTAATCCCAGTTCTCAGGAGGAAGAAGCAGGTAGATCCCTGAGTTCAAGGCTAATTTAGTCTACAGAGCAAGTTCCAGGACAGCCAGGCCTATACAGAGAAACCAGGTCTTGGGGAGAAAAAAAAAGAGGAAAGAAAGAAGGAAGGTCCTTCCTGGACTAACTTACCACTTTATTGACTGTGTGTGTGTGTGTGTGTGTGTGTGTGTGTGTGTGTGTGTGTGTGTGTGTGTGTGTGACTGTGTGTGTGACTGTGTGTGACTGTGTGTGTGTGTGTGTGTGTGTGTGTGTGTGTGTATTTTCAGGCACTGGGGACAGTGTCGTGGCACAGACAAAAGGATTTACATTCACCTAAGATCTCCCTCCTAGCGATGGCCATGGTCTTACTGTTCTGTGACAGTCTGGGCTCCGGGACAAGCTGACCGGGGTCAGTCCTCCTTGGGTGGGAGGAGGCACACTTCTGTTCTTTGCTTCCTTCTGATCTTAGCTTCAGGGCCTCTGCTTCCATTTTTGTGTCCAGGACAAACTCTTCCATCAAATCTTCCCAAATAGAAAACAATTCTTGAAGATCAGGAACCTGACTATCTTATTCACATCCTATATTTTCCTGCTTCTAGAGCAACTCCTAACTTCCTGAACAACAAGGTATTTGTATTCACCAACTGGCATATCAATTACAATTTCCAGTGCATAGTAGTGGGTGTCTGTAATCCCAGAAGGAAAACTGAGATATAGGCTAACTTGGGCTGTGGAATGAGACCCCCCCCAAAAAAAGAACAGAAGATAAACATAACCAGACTTCTGGTGGTTTATATATACTCAAAATTCTTGATATTGAATATCTGTACTTTTTCTATTACCTACTTAGACATAACTTAAGGGCACTCATTGGCCTAAAGAGTAGATCAAAGCTGGGTTTTAATACTAGCTTTTACACTTTCCATAGTCTGCAGTTCACTCTGAATGACAATAACAGGTGGGATTTAGAAAACCTAAAGGTGGACATGTAAGGGCATTTCACACTGAGAACTGCTCGAAGGAAGACAGCTGCCTCGAAGAAGACAGAACGGCTAATACATGCTGACTACTGGCTGTATTAATCCATGCATTCATTTGAATGTATCTTCACATGGCCTCCCACCAAGGACACAGTGTCCTAGCAGGGATCAAAGGTATTCAACCGTGGCCCCTGTCCTCCAGTACCTCCTCCTAGCAAAGGGCACAGTTGCAGGAGGCATGTACCTGCTCCTGCTGTTGCCTGAACAGTGTAAACATAGAAAAAAAGCAAGAGCTGAGAATGCGACCAGCAGCCTGCAGCAGAGGTTTGAGACAAGGCTGAGAAACTGCTCAATGGAGAGCCAAGTACCAGAAATGAAAGAGAGAAACTGATCAGTAAATACTAATTTTCTAATACACCCACGGTCACCCATCTTTAAAATGACGGCATCTCTTAGTTGAATCAAGTTGGATGGAGCCTCTGAAGTTGCCGGCAATAGTCTGTACAGAGAGCCGAAGCAGGACTTGCGAGGCTGGACCCTTGCCTCTGGCCTCCCTGGGTATATGCAACTACCTACTTCTGGTGGCTGTGGCCATATAGCCTCCAGGGGGCGCTATTTCCTTTAGCTCTCCTGATGGAGCTGTGGTTCTCAAGCCAACATCAGAATTTCCCAGAAGACTTGTTAACTTGGCGTCACTGGGTCCCATTCCCACAGTTCCTCGTACAGTAAGGTCGGGAGGGTGGACCAAAGAATGTGCATTCATGATACATCCCCAGGGTGTGCTGACTCTGCTGACCCAGAAGGACTAAGACCCTTCTTAAAAACGGGTAAAATGGCTGGAATTTTGGAAGGGTATCTTTCTAAAGTGCACAATATATCTATGAAATTTAAAAATTAAGTTGGGGAGTGAGGGTGTAGTTCCCTGGGATGGTGCATGCTTGCCACGCTTGGCACGCTTGGGCTCAATTCCTAAACCGAATCAAGCTAAAACAACAGAGCTAGAGCCAAGAAACAAGGTAGCTCACACGTTGTGGCAATGAGTCCCGAGTGCTGACTAGTCTCTCCTCAGTTCTCCTTCTTCAGGGTGGCTGACTACCTGCTATGATGATAAGAAGCTTTTTACATCGTCGCCGTACCAGGAAAGAGCCGATGGAAACCTAACACAGGATGCAAGATTGGCATTATCCTCAAACAAGCGATGTAGTCGTAAAATAGAACATTTTTATTTCCTTAACAAGCTCTTACTTATGTTGTAGCTGCCTCCATCCCAAAGAGTGGGGCTTTACTTTGTGCCTTGCGAATACCTAAGGAATGTCAAAAGTATAAAGGAATCTCAGCACTCAGCATCCCCTGGCTGGGAGCACAGCCCACGGTACTGACGTTACTCATTTGTTCCCGGCTATCTATATTTATCCTGTGAACTTTGAATCACGTTATTTTTAACATAGCTACAACTTCCCCGATAGCACCCAGCCTAATAAATACAGATGGCTTCTTTCTTATCTCTACACTGTGTCTTCCTTGGACGCCATATCTTGCCAAAAATGGTGAGATACCTTTTAGAATCAAGTGTTTAGTGGCCAGACTGGTGTGTTGGCCAGACTGGTGTTTGTATCAGTGTCAGGGCTTGCCATGATATTCTTGAACGGAAAAATCTGCATAGAGTGTCTCCCTTGAAGAAGATCATCTCTAGTAATCTGCTCTCGAGGACAGAGGACCAGAAAAGCTTCATATTCCCAAACACCCGAAGAGACGCAAGGGCAGTAGAAGGTGAGGATAGTGCGGGGTGGGGGTTGGGAGATGATGGCTGTGTCTAGGCCCATGGTCAAGCTCCTTCAACTTCAGTTTAGATTCCAAACAGAACATGGGGATAGACAGACAGCAAGGAGCAAGAGGGATCCAGACAAGTTCCAGCCGTGTAGCTGAGGGTCCACACTCCATCTTCTCCCCTGCCTGCCACACCTCACCTAATAAGGAGGTGTGAGAAACTGGAACTAACAGTTCTAGAGAGTATGAGACAGGGAGAAAATGGGATGGATGGAAGGGTGGGATGGGGTCCCCAGTCTACACACACACACACACTCCCCCAAACACCCCCATAAGTTCCTCATGTTTGAACCTCTCTGGACTGACTCTCACCACCTGAACTCCAAGTAAATTGCTTGACCTAGTTCTGAAGTGGACTAATTACTATCGCCTTAGCCTCTCATTTTATAGGAGCAGGGGCTATGAATTCTATCCTCCCCAGGTGACTAAAGTAATTTTTATGTATTGTTTTAAAACTTTTTTCATTTTTGAGTATAATATAATTGCATCATTTCTCCCTTAACTTCCCTCCCTCCAAATCTTGCCGAATAACCCTGCTTGCACTTTTTCAAATTCATGGCCTCTTTTTTTCCTTAATTTTTGTCATGCACATATGCGTATGTGCATACACATATATATTCTTAAATACATAAATACAACCTGCTCAGTCTGTACAATGTTACTTATAATATGTATATTTTCAGGGCTGACCTTAGGTAGCGAAAAACCAATTGGTGTGCTCTCCCTGTAAAAGATAATTCTTCCCACACAGTCTTTTTTCTCCATTATATTTATTTATCTGGGTGTGTGTGTGTGTGCATGTACATGTGCCACAGTGTGCATGAGGAGATCAAAGAACAACTTGCCTGAGTAGGTTCTTTCCTTCCATCCATCATGTGGGATTCAGGAATTGAATTCAGGTCACCTGGGTTAGTAGCAGTCACGTTTATCCACTGAGCCATCTTACTGGCCATTTTTCTTGATTAAAAATGTATGCTTACACCCTCATGCAGCCACATTTGTGCTTAAAAGGCCACTCAGAGGCTGGATTTGATAGGATGTGGCTCCAGGACTCTCATCCAGAAACCAAACATTGGACAGGGGTAGAGACGGAGACCAGCAAGGCAGGGATGAAGATGCAGAGTTACTGCAAGGACCAAAGGCCATTCTTCCTATAGTTCTGTATGCTAAAGGCTGGAGAGATTGCTCAACTATTAAGAGCACTGACTGCTCCGCCAAAGGACCCAAGTTTTAGGTCCAGCACCCACATGGCAGCTCACAACCACCTATATCTCCGATTGCAAAGGACCTGGTGACCTCTTCTAGCCTATGCTGGTACCAGGCACATATGTGGTGCACAGACATCCATGCAGACAAGATACCCCTATACACAAAACAAAATGAAAATTAATGTTAAAGATATATTAAGGAGCCGGGTGTTGGTGGTGCACGCCTTTAATCCCAGCACTTGGGAGGCAGAGGCAGGCAGATTTCTGTGAGTTCGAGACCAGCCTGGTCTACACGAGCTAGTTCTAAAGACAGAGAAACCCTGTCTCAAGAAACAAACAAAAAAAAAAAAGTTAAGGAGCTAGTATCTTGCTTGGCAGAAGTGAAATGAAGGGAACTATTAAACTGACACTTTATGGGTGAAAAAAATCTCACTAGTTCTTCATTTCTAGAGAGGAGAACTGGTTTGATTGACATGAGGAGTCTGAAGGTCAGAAAGGGAAGACTGGGGTCAGATCTGTGATAACATGAGTCTAGCCCTTATAAGCTTCAGGAGCAAAATGTTGGTATTTGGAAAACCGAAGACACAAATAGAGTTTCTACTGCTGGCTGTGCCAAATTTACATTCCATTATGGAAAGCAAACTGTTAAGGGGACTTAATTTTTTCTACAAAGACAGTATGTCTTAGTTTGGTTTTTTTTTTTCTATTACTGCAATGAAACACCATGACCAAAGGCAAGTTGGGGAGGAATGCATATATTAGGCTTACACTTCAGCATTGCTATTCATCACCGAAGGAAGTCAGGACAGGAACTCAAACAGGGCAGGATCCCAGGAGGCAGTAGCTCATGAAAAGGCCATGGAGGGGAGCTACTTACTGGCTGGCTTACAGTTGCAGAGGTTCAGTCCATTATCATCTGGGACCATGGCAGCAGATGTGATGCTGGAACTAAGAGACCTACATCTTGACTCAGAGGCAACAGGAAGCCCACTGTCTCACTGGACAGTATCCTGAGCATAAGAAACCTCAAAGTGACACACTTCCTCTAACAAGGCCATACCCACAACAACAAAGCCACACCCCCTAATCACCACACAATAACATATGAATTTGAAAGGAAAATGGCACTCACAAATTTGATGCTTAGTTCAAAAACATGTCCAGATGTTTTTTATGCTCTCACTTCCTGTTACTTTCCCTTCCTTGAAGGTTGTGTTTGTTAAAAATCAATGGCAGCTAGAGATTGTGGAAGGCTTCAAGAAGAACATGTGTGTGTGCATGCACACATGTACACACTCAGGAACATAGAAGAAGGAGCTATAATGCAGAATAAACTGTTCTTTTTATCTTTCTTTGAATGTATATATGATGTGCATGCTAATGTGTATTGTGTGTGTGTTCTTACATGTGCATGCATGCAAGCACATGTGTATGTATACATGTACATGTGTAAGCCCATAGTTAAGGATTGCTCTCTATCTCATATATTGAGGCAGGGTATCTTCCTTGGACCTGGAGCTCACTGCTTTGGCTAGTCTACCTATCCAGCTTGCTGTGAGGATACCTCTCACTTTCTAGGAAGCCCACTAAACCAAATGGCATTTACATGAGTGCTGGAGATCTGAACTCTGGTCCACATGCTTGCACAACTAGAGCATCACTCACTGAACCATCTCTTCAGATACATATTCAGGCAACACACCCACACACATAAAATAAAAATAAATCTAAAAAAAAAAAACCTCAAAACCTGGGGCCGGAGTGATGGCTCAGGTTAAGAGCACTGGTTGCTCTTCTAGAGATCCTGAGTTCAATCCCCAGCAACCACATGGTGGCTTACAACCATCTACATTAAGATCTGGTGCCCTCTTCTGGTGTGCAAGCATATATGCAAGCAGAACACTGTATACATAATAAATAAATAAATCTTTTTTAAAAATTTAAAACCTAATCACAAGCTCACATCACTGATAGGCTCTGGTGTGCCTTCCAAAAAAATTCATTGTATAAATCCATTGTTCAAGGTGCTGTGTTCCAGTGTCACAGAAGTGTACATGTTGAACACACTCCTACCCATGCTCCTATCTTCCCCTTTTCAACCCCCCTCCCAAATTCCCTTTGTCCCCCACAGACAGTTTTACTTTAGCCTTCATGTCATATATCCAGGCATGGTCTTATGTACCTAAATAAAATCTAGGAACCACAAGTGAGAGAAAGCATACCTTATTTGTCTAAGTCTGAGTTAGCCTGGAATTGTGGTCTATTATAGAATTATGATGCTTGCAGGCCTCCAAGAGCATCTCCTAAATATTACTGTCCAGGTGGCAGTGAGCTGAAGTCATCTCTGTCAGTATAGATGAAATTATTTTAGATGCTGTTTATTCAACAGCTTTCCTGCAGTTGTATTCAGCTTTACTTGTATTCATGAAACAAGTTTCAAAATTCAGTTGCTAGCTTCTTTAGAAAATGTAGATATTCTACAGTGATACTTGCTTTGCTGGTCCTGAACTCATCTCTGTACACTGAGGACTCCAGTCAAACTGTATCCACAAACAGAAAACCAGTAGGAATTCTGGGGGTGGTACAATGATAGGAGGAAACAGACATATATCTCAAATTTTCCTTAGCTGTGTCATTGCTAACAATTAATACTTCTAATTTTTCATATTTTTTATTCTGCACAAATTATTAGGCTTGCATACAAGCTTTATTTCCAAGCCACTTCATCACCTGTCTCATGATTAAAAACACACTTTTCTTTTATTACAATAGTAAGTTTGATACATAAATTGCTTTGTTTTGTTAAGCTGACAAGAGTGTACATATACTCTCTGTTCAGTATATCTAACGTCAGCACTAATAAATGGTACATTTTCTCCAGCAGTGAAGGAAGAGAGGGAAAAGTGGCAGCAGCTGCTGGGTAAGCAAAGATCTGGGGAACAGCATTTCTAGGAGCATCCTAAAGTGGGGATGAAGTTAGTGTTTGAGAGGAAGGCTTACAGTCCCTGTCAATCATCACCTGCTAGGCCAGTCAGGCAAAGAACTGTAAGAGTAAGACGTTGGGACCCTTTAACAAGCTTCACGGCATCTTGGCTACAAAATCCCCAGGGAGATTGCAATTCTAGTAAGATGACAAATTGCAGAATTTTTTTCTCCTCTTGCTATGTGTTGTTCTGTTTACTCAAAAATACATAGCAATCTACCAAATACCTCATTACAACATTTGCAAAATTGATAAAGCAGAGTTATTAGCACTCAAAGTACAAGAAAACCTAAACAACAACAAAAAAAAAAAAAGAAGAAGGACTTGAGGATAACAACCTAAAGAATGAGGGGATAGAGATGGGCTGAGCAGTTAAGAACACTTGTTGCTCTTATAGAGGACCCTGGTTCCATGGAACCAATGAGTCTTCTAATCTCCAGGAGGACCAGTTATACATATGATGTGCTTATATCCATGCAAGCAAAAACATTCAAACACATAAAATAAAGCAATGTAAAGAATGAGAATTCTGAGGCAGTATGACAAAATCCTGTAATTTGAGTACTCAGGAAGCATGAGGTATGAGAAGCCAGCTTGAAACCACCCTGAGTTTAAGTAGGGAAACCGTGTTTTAAAAAACAGAGGCAGGCAAACAAAAAGAACTGTGCTCCCTTGTATTCCCAGGGACGGGACTGTTAGAATGAGGGCCAGCTGTTTAGGGAACACACTGTGCTCCATTGACTAGTGGAAGGTCACAGTATGGAGATGTCTTCTCACTTTTCTCTGATTGTGACAACTTGGAGATGGAGGGCAGGGGAATGTCAAGTATTTATTTTGCAGCTCTTCTCCTCTCTTAGTAGGTTGGCAATGGTCATGTTTCTCCGTAACGACCAAATGCTCCCGCAACTTCTTAGCTTCAACAACTGCTTCTTCCTTTTGCGCCTCCCCAGGAACTGTACATTTCCCACAGTCCTGCTCTAACATGCTCAGCTGTCCCCACCCCACCCCCAGCCATTCACGACCCTTCTGACTAACAGTCCCCGTTACACTTTGCCTAGACCCTCCACTGGAACTTACCATCTACTTCCTGTGGGGTGGTCCCTGACCATACATGCATTAAGCTGATAGATTTTCTGAATACAACTGAAATTATTTTCAAAGTACACTGCTTTATACATTTCAGCTTCTAAATCTTGTGAGTTTATTGCACATACAAAATATCTAACACATGAATCCATTATTATTTTAAAATGATCAGAATCACAGGAAGTCGAAAAACATAAATTTAAAAACATACTGACTGGGACACTGTAGCCTTCAACCAGTCTTGTATGATGAATGCTTTTTATGTAACTGCATGTATTACAATATCAAGATAAGGAAATCGACACAAGTCCTCTGTCTGTCTTTGTCTCTGTCTCTTTGTCTCTGTCTCTATCTCTGTCTCTCTGTCTCTCTCATGTTTGTGTGTGTGTGCATGTGTGTGGCCATTCTACAACAGCTCCAAATCACAATACGATGAGTATAAGCCTTACCTTTGTGCGGTCCCTTTGGCAGCCCCGCCTATCCTTTCTTTCACTATGTAACCCTTAGCTAGTATCCATTTATTTCCTACCTCTCTGATTTTGTCACTTGGAAATGTTAAATCAATGGAATTACACAATGTGTGGCCTTCTGTGACTGCTTCCCCTCCCCTTCACTCAATGCAATGCCTTTATACTAAGTTGCTTCATGTACCAACCATCTCCAGCCAAACCTTTGATTAGTGAGTGGTATTTTATGTGTTACCATACCCATGGGAATGTGGCTTGCTTTGTATATAGTAGCTATTATTAACAAAATTTCTAAGTCTATTCATATATAGCTTTTTGGGTAGGCATAAAATTTCATTTTATGGAGAAAAGCCTAACAATAAGCCTGTAGGTCATGACAAGTGTGTTATTTCTTTAAAAGCACTGACCAAGTGTTCTCTTGGAGTGGCTGTTTCATTTGCAGTCTCATGAGCAATGATACTCTAGAAGATCCAGTGTTTCCTCATACTTGTCATCCACCTGTGACTGTAGAAAGAGCCCTCACCCTTCAGTCAGGTTTTCTGATTCTACTTACAGTCCCAACTAGAAACCAAGAGCTCACTCCTCCTTTTTTCTCCATTAGCTAGGACCATCTAAGTAACCAGGTAATGTCATGGGCCACACAACTGTCATGCTCACCAGTGACAGTCCCACAGTTTTGTCCATCGATATCATGTTGGCTTCCATCTTCCATATCACTCACACAGAAATTTTTAAGTCATGATGGTGCCATATTTCAAGCATTATGTGTGCCCAAATGACTTACCTCTAAGTTCTATGTTCTTCAAATACATGGTCAACCAAATCCAGAGTTCAATGCTGAATGTCCTAAAGCCATTTATAGAAGTGTGTTCTATGTCAACAGTCTTTATAAGGATCTGAATAGAGTATAAGCAATCCACAAAGCATGGTACATCAGAGCAGTATGTAATAACAATGTAATGCCACTCCTACCATGAGACCCAAGGGAGCAATAACAAAGCTATCCCAGAGCTGGAAGATAGAGAAGCCTGTGTGTAGAGGGCCATCAAACCACCTGTCTTAGTTAGGGCTTCTATGGCTGTGACAAAACACCACAGCCAAAAAGCAAGTTGGGGAAGGAAGGGTTTAATTGACTTAAATTTCCATAATGTAGTCAGTCACTGAAGGAAATCAGGACAGGAATTCAAACAGGGCAGGACCCTGGAGCAGATACAAAGGCTATAGAGAGGGTTGTTAAGCCTATTTTCTTATAAAACCCAGGACTACCAGCCCACGGATAGAACCACTCACTGAGGACTGAGCCCTCCCACATTGATTACTGATGGAGAAAATATTTTAAAAGCAGTATCTCATGGAGGCATTTCCTCAACTAAGGCTCCTCTTTCTCTGATTATTCTATCGTATATCAAGCTACCACACAAAACCAGCCAGCACATTACCCAAAAACTTAGGGGGGGAGGAATTCTGCTTTCAAGAATCCCATTGACTATATCCAAATAAAAGTGAAAAGGGCAATGACATCCATTGGTATAACCATTTAGGACACCCTCCTGGGTACATAGCAGGTAGTGCTAATGCAGAGAAACAAATAGAAGATGAGTTTGTGGCTTTAATCTAGGAGAAGATCTAGAAGAGTATTTTTACGTCAGTATGTAGAGCTTTTGTTTTCATTACTGAAGATTTAAACCCGAGGCTTGACACATGACACATAACAACTTTACCAAGGTTCACATCCTAACCCTCAAAGAGCTTGCTTCTTTTATTTAAATTCTCTTTCATTTAATTCCATTCCATCTTGATGGAAAGGAACGGCTCCCAATGGGTGACTGCTGTAAGCATTGGAGATCAATGTTGGTACCTGTGCTGCTCCTGCAGCAATACGTCAAGGAGCAGGAAGAATGGAGGTGTCACTGGGTCCTGGGGCAGTGATGACATGGACTCCAGAGAAAGCACAGCGGCTCAGGCTACAAGAGCAGAGGTTTACTAGGTAACAAGTAACCAAACACCTCATGCACGATTCCCAGCTAACTGTAAACTCTGCGAGAGGACAGACTGTCTTATTTTTCTATGGATCCTCCTAGAGCATCAGGGACAGACTTTGTGACCGAGGGGATGAAGTTCCTTTTACATTCAGCATTATTCCGCAACGTGTCCATAGAGATAGCTACAAAACGTAATTAAAGAATATCTGAAGTAAACCACCACTGTCCTATATATTCTTTTCAGTTCCCACAGAATGACATCAAAGTGACTGGGACACAATGGCACAAAGGGACTGGATAGGGTGAAACTCTGACAGCATTTAATATACTTGCAGTTGATCAAAGACTTTGGCTATCCTCAAATGCTTTTCTAGGTCTGCCTCAGATATCTCCCCTTGCTTTTGATGTTCTTAAGATGCATTCCCTAAAATCAAGCCCCCAACCCAACCCAGTCTGTGCCTTGGAAGCCACAGTTGAGCCATTTCTCATCTTTTCTGATCAGGCTTCTTTCCAAGAGTTTTTTACATTCTGCTGAGTGATTCTAGTTTTCCTTTCCCTAACACTTTTTTTTTTCTTCTTCTTAAATGCCCTTCACATACGGCTTATTTTCATGGTGAGCAGCTCGGCACAATTTTTCGGATTCCTCTGCTATACACAGATTCCTCTTATCTCACTCAATATACTGGGATGCATTTGGCCTCCTTTCACCGACAGTAGAAGAGCGAGGTCTTTCCCTGCAGATAAAATAGAGCAGACAGTTCTTAGATTAATTACAAGATCTGAGGAGTGAGGAAGAGATAGCAGAGGGTTGCTATGCTAATTCCGTCTCTTGGATATATTGCTGCAGAAATTGGGCTTTGTACACATGCAAATATTCAAAACAAACTAAAGCTTTGATAGAGATCACAGTGCTGAGGGTATATGCAGCTTAGTGATGGGGTACTTGCCTTGTGTGCAGAAGGACCCTGGTGCGGAGACCAGCAGAGAGCTGACCTCAGTTCTCAGCTTCTCAGGTAAATGATTTCTTCCTAAGAAAATAGCATACGACATCCCTATCCTGTGTATGGTAATCTTCCTCTTATGTCTGGTGTCAGAAGTGGGATCTGACTTCAAATGGCAGGTGCCCATTTCACAAGTCTATGCAGGAACCCAAAGCCTAACGCAATGCGTCCACTGTGGTAGGCCTTGGGTCAAAAACAGAGTGGGTGTGGGAGAATCCCTTGAGTATAATGTCTTCTGAAGAAGGGTTCCCACTGGACAAGGTAAATCCTTGTCCCACTAACAGATAGGGGGCCTGGCACGGCCATGTCTTTCACAGGACACCCCAAAAAAATCACAGGAGGCCCGGCCCTCTAAGGCAATGACTTGGAAAGTTCAGCTTACCCAGTTGAAAGCAGATCTAAGCCTGTTAGAGATCAGGTGTGAGGGAGAGGGTGCTTTCCCACCATGTGGTCCTGGGAAAATGGGGGGAAAAACAACCTCCTCGGTGGAACCTCCAGATGAAAAGTTTCTACACCCCGATAAGCCTCTCTGCCTATTGCTATCCAAATCAGACCAAATCAAACCGAATTAGAAAGCCCATATATAATGGATACAATGTTCCCAGACCGCCTTCCACCCCCCAAGAAAGGAGACAGGAAAGGGAGACTGGAAAAACCATGAGTCTGTTCTCTGGGGGGCAGTTTAAATACCCTGTGGGAATGGTCTTGAGCATCTCTGGGTGAGGGGTCATCTTTGGAAGACTTTCTGAGATGCTGCAGGGTTTGGAGGGAGATGAGAGGGCTTGGGTAGAATTTATACCATAACATCCCAGACTCTTTGGGTACACTAACATTTCCTTCCTACAGGATCTCATGAAGTTATCATTGAGAATACTACCCCCCTTTATTATAAGATAATTTATGCCTGCTTTGGTTAGTTTTCAGTTATTTAGGGTTGGGATTGGAAGGAGGTGTTCAGACTTGGGCATCTCTTTCAGATAAGTTTAGGGTTTAGATGGGATAGATATCCTTAGGATAGGATACAGGTAGATTATAATTTGTTTATCACCTTTTATGTATATATGCTTTGTATGTATGTTTGAGACAATCTAATTTTGTTTCAAATCTAAATCTTTTCTTTAGACTAAAAGGGGAATTGTAGGGAGAGATCTCACATACCCTCAGCACTGACCACGCCCATAACAATTATTCCTCCTGAGGGCTACATTCCTACTTCTAGAGTTATTAAGGAAGAGAAAGATAAATATAGCAAAGTATTCAAAAATTTGGTCAGTTTTTAAAAGATTTTTTTTCATGCGTATGATTGTTTGCCTGCATGTATGCTTGTGTACCTACCACATATGTGTCTGATGCCCTCAGAGGCCAGAAGAGAATACCACCGACACCAACAGCCTGTGTTCAGATTTGCGGTTCTTCAGTCTATTGTGAGACTCAGCCGTATCATTGTATATGGTAGCAGTTTATTTGTTCTTTTTTAAAAAAATATTGATTTACTTAATGTACATTGAGGTTTTGCCTGCATATATGTCTGTCAGATTCTCTAGAACTGGAGTTACAGTCGTGAACTGCCGTGTGGGTGCTGGGAATTGAACCTGGGTCCTTTGGAAGAGCAGCCGGTGCTCTTAACCACTGAGCCATCTCTCCAGCCCAGTTTATTTGTTCTTATGACTGGTGGTTTACTGTATTCACATGTCAACACTTATTCATTTTATCATTTAAATTTATTTGAATAAAATGTAATAAACTGAAAGTGAACACTTTTCAAATGCACTCAGATAAAAATCACAGAATATCCTCTTATCAAAGACATTCCTCCACTCTGTATATCTCCTTGAAATGCCTTTTTGTCTCTATTATAGCAACACCTAGTGGTGTCTGCAGGATACAGGTTTGGAGGTGTGCTGTCACAGTCCAACACTTTGAGCTTTGGGAGCCTTCAGCTACAGCAATGACTATATCTGACTTGAGGTCCTTTCAATCAGTCTTTGGTCTAAGATTGATAGTTTAGAAAAGTCATCCAAAGACTTTAATGTCCAGCCAAGGCTAAGAACTACTAACCTAGGCCAGCATTCTTAACCTATAAACATGACAGCAGGTCAATGGTCCCCACTCCTAGAGTGGGCTTCAGTAGGCTGGAGGTAAAAATCTAAGAATCTGCATGTTTAACAAATTACCAGTCAGACTGATGCAGCTACAGGAACCACAGCGGAAGAGGCATGGAGACAGCCATCTCTAGGAATTTTATACAGGAAATAACTTCAACTATGACAGCATAAGGGATTATTTCCTGGAGTCATAGAGGACGTTACAACAAAACTACCACTCTAACAGAGGCCTCACAATCTTTCCTCTCACCTGATGGTGTCACAGATATTGATGAAAGTTAGGTCATCTGGGGTTATGAAAAAAGACTACATTTCTGAAACAAAATTCAAAGGTTTAAAGGGGTGGGTTGTCTGGATCCATTGAAGTGGCTCCGTTCCTATTGACTTATGGTCAGAGACTTTAAACCCTATCCTTGCTCTTTCAAGGTTAAAGACCTAAAATCTAAAGGTTCAAGGTGTGACTACTGAAGGATGTTTGGCCTAAGGTTTGATCACTGGATGTCTTTCACAGATAACAGTATACCTGATCTAAGGTGTGCTCACTAAATGTCTTGATCCTCAAGGCCAGAACAGGAGATTTGATCTAAGGTGTGATTACTGGATGCTTTGAGGATTAAGGAAGTAATTATGTCTTGAATCATTGGTAAGGAAGTTCTTTTGCCTCCCCCTTTGGTAGGGGTACATAAGAACTTTGAGCAATAAAAGTAAGGTGGATCCCATTATTCACTGGATGCCCTCCTGACTCTAACTTCTGTCTCTATCCTGTTTCTTTCCTCAAACCACACTCCTCTTCTTAGGTACAAACCCGACTAGTCAGCTGGACTGAACAGTGGGTAGAATAACTCTTTTACATAAACCTACTTGCAAAAACATAAGCATCAGAGGAAGTAAAAGTTGATACCACATTAGAGCCAAGATTTGGGGAAGGCTAAAAGGGTGGAAATGGAGGCTGTGATGTTCTTAGGCAGCCTGAATTCTAATTCAGGCTCAGGAAGGGACACATCTGCCTTCCTGGGCCCCTTTATCTCCATTAACCACCTTTCAAAGACTGAGTTTCTGCAACCTGCCTAACCCATACAGACACAATCAATAGGAGAAGAAATACGTTGGCTAATTGTTAAGTTACTCCCAAGCTCTCTTATACCGTTAAATTTACTCTGTTGTTTCCTTTCACCTCTCAATCTCACTCTCATTTGCTCCCTAAGGTAGCATTTCACTAAATGTAGATGCCTATTGCCACCCCTGACATTTAGACAGTGCTGTGCCTAAGAGTCTGTGGTGCCACACTGTTGGGTTGGGTGTAAGCCATCTTCCCAGCTGTGTCACGGGGCACAGTGCACTGGCGCAGGGACTTTGTCTTTCAGAACCATTGAAACCTGACTTCATGGCTCCTGGAACTGCCTTGGCATGCTTTTCATGGTAGTGGAGTTTTGCCTAGGGAACTGGGGAAGCTGGTAGTTCATACTCACAACATAGGTGAATCTCCTGTCGACCCAGGTGTGAGGGCCTCTGGCCATGTAGGGCATCTAATGAGTAGTCTTTAGCTCATTAAGTAGTTATGTGGTTTGTTTTGTTTTATTTTGGAGGATTTTGCTTAATGACAGAATTTTTATAATGCCTATACTTTTGAATAGTCTAAAAAAACATTTTTAGCTTAAGATTAAAGCAGGAACTGATTCTATCACACAAAAATAGAGAAAAGACGAGAAATGAAACTGCACATCCAGAGCAGGTGTGAGCATTCACATGTATCTTAAAATCTATTTCTATAGAAACAAAATTAAAAAGTGCAGTTTTGATTGACCCAAGCAAAGACTTGTGGCCTCTTGGCTACAGAACAAAATGAAATCAAGTTCATTGATGACAACAGCAATGTATGGGAACACACACAAAAAGGGGTCTAAAATGAACCCAAACAAGCCCTATCACTATGCTGGCCACACAACCATTGTCTTAGGCTACTGTCAGAATTCAGATTTTGTCCTGATTGCTGTCTATAGTCCATATTTGAGGTATGTCCAATTGATTTTTTGTTTCATTGTCTCTTGTTGAGTCACTCCTTCCAAGCATTTTTATTTACCTACATCCACACAGAAGGGTATACACAGCTTCAAAAGCTGCCAGTCAACCTTAACTAACAGATCATTAAAGTCATTTCTTCACCTTACCACAGAGAGTCACTCCCTTTCTTTACTGGTCATAATAGACATACCCACAATATATAGATGACAGAAGAAAATGAAAATGTTAACAGTTCACACAAACGCATTTTTTGAGATAATGTGCTCAATTATATGGTCTTTCTGTTTCCTAGTTCTAAACACTCTAATATTTTCACAAGCCGTAAGTATATTACAAAGAAGTGTAGTGGGTAGTCTGTAAGCTTCAGGACTCAAATTCTATCACCGACCACATGGTTACTTCTCCATATAAAGGATTTCTTAGCTATTATATAATAAGTCACTGACTAGCTAAAACAATTTCCAAGTCACACCTGATAAGGACCTAAATGTATCTAGGACATATGTAAACAATAAATATAAAATAATAATAATAATAGTATAATAATAAGCCACAGTAGCTTCCCCACTAGGTCCTATGACTTCCCTAGCTTACATTTACAGTACC